AAATATTCATCAACCTTATTCAACAACTGTACGACAACGGCACGTGTCAAGTGATCCACAACGGAAAACTAAGCGAGGCGTTTGGAGTAAACACAGGAGTCAGAAAAGGGTGCTTATTATCACCAGTGATATTCCTAATTGTTTGACTGACTGGATTATGCGTCAGACAGTGGTAAATGAGAAGACAGGGATATCCTGGACCGATATGAAGAACCTAGAAGACCTGGATTTCGCGCGTGGGTGGTTTATGCTTGATGTCACACAAAATCGAAGTCTTACAGGCGAAAACGACATGGAGCAGATCATGTGAAGAGGAGTTGAAATAGTACGGACTAACATGAATGCAGGTGAAAAGTATGGCAGAATAATGAAGCAAGTGGAGACGTGCAGTTGAAGCCCTATGTTCCACTAAGAACCCAAGGGAACAATAATAATAAAAAATCAAACTTCCTTTGGCTTAATGTGATAAGTATTCATGAAACCAAACATTTTAGAAGCATCATGATAAACAATGAGTTTAATTTTCAAGTACTGAGTTCTAGAAACTGATGTCAAGGTAGATTTCGTCTTGGATAAACATCAATTCGAGAGCTATTCCAGTAGCTAGACAGTCAATGCGCTCAATTCTAGGTCCTAGATTCATTCTTCTCTGAAGTTAATGATCCACACCGATGATAAGTCCCAAATTAGGATGAAACAAGTGTCCAGTGAGCACTGCTTGCTTTTCAATAGCTCCCTTACCAATATTAATTCGTGAAAAATATCCCTTGAAACTTGAATTTATTGTAGGGAATACGATTTTAGGCTAAACCTTCACTCCAACATACTTTCGATTAATCAGAGTCATGGATTTCCTATGAAATGAATATGTATACATAAATTCGAAGTTGCTTTTCAAAACAGATCAATACACATCGAAAAACTTTTAGAGATGTGAAAAATTAGATTTATATTTCAGTTACAAACAGTAACAATGTTGAGTATCAGTTACTCCCGCATATAAATTCACAGGAGTATCATTTTTTTTGTGCGTTTTTTTATTTTAGGCAAATTCTATCTAAGAGTTTATTAGTTACATTAGCAAAATGTTACTCAACATTTTGTATTATTCAAATATGCTTTTTGTGAAACATTTTTGTTCCTTCAGGTTCCTAGTGGAACATTGTGCTTCAATCTAGTTGAAGTTTCTATAGCAGTGTTCATTTTTACAGGATAGGGTTACTAGCCTCATGCTTGACTTTTCCTCTTTACCAGCTTTAGTGCTGGCTTAGAGAGGTAAAGGAGTGCGTCTGTGGCAGCGGATAGAAGCCCGGACCCTGTGCCTAGTCGGCGAGCGTCCTAAGCGCTGTGCCATCAACGAACTTTGTGAAATATGCACTATCTTAAAATGCTTATGTCTTATTCATGCAAGGAATCATTTTAAGATGTTGGGAGAATTTCCTGAATAACACTTATAAAACCAATAGAAGTCTCCATGATTGAGAAATTAGTAGTGATCTGGTCGCCCTATTTGTCAGCCGGAAGTACACTAGATAACGAGGAGGGGTTAAACACACAAGGTTAACAACACAACTACCATTACTGAAATTTCAAAACTTCAAGTCTCATGTTCCACTCGCAATGAAAAGAAACAAAAAAGGTAGTATTAACAGCTGAAGAGATGTCAATGTGATAAGCATATCTGAAAAACACTCAGCTAATTTACTGAAAACAAAATTGTGGTAGACATTACTGTTTCGTTTGTGGCTGGTCTTTACTATTAAGACTTTGAGATGTTACGATTTTGAATAACTTCAGTATAAATTTCGTCAAAACAACCGACAGTCGTTGAAAGCCAAGTAGCATTTCAGCTTCTCACTCTTCAGTAGAGTGGATCAATGACCCAACTAATGTTTGAATCCAACTTCTTTAAAATCCCAACCCTTGTATGTTGACCATTGAGGTTTTAGGATGGAATCCTATGATTTATGAATTCTAAATCCTGTCACTGTGCGGAAAAGTGGTCACACAAACCTATGTTGCTGATGAATACTACTTGTTTGAACTTTAGGATATTTATCTTATAGCCAAAGATCAACATTAGATCAATTGTTTGAATTTTGGATCTTTAGGCATTTTGATTAGTTCAAGAGTAGATTTATTCATAAGTCAACATTAAAGGATAAGATGTCAGATAAGAAAATTCGGCTGACATGCGTCTGCTTTTTTACCCAACCCGTTAGGACAAAATTTTTATTTCATTGAAGACTAGAGAGTACATTACCCTGAGATGATGAAACTAATTTTTCCTTAGAATATAATGAAGTAGTTATTACATATTAATTTAAAATATCAAGTACAACTGTAACAACAGAAGACAAGGGTCAGGCATCAGATCATTTATTAAGGAAAATCAACACATATTTAAAGATTTTAATGTACATTATTGTTAGTAGAAAACACAGTCTTCTGATTGATTGCTTCTCACAGAAAGTTAATCTTTCATCTCTTCGTGGCTGTTTCTTGAATGTCAGATCATCTATATTCTAACTGTGATAGAGAAGATTTGTAGCTCAGGTGGATAATTTTGATGTGGTTTTGTTCTCTGAGCTGGATAGTTAGTTTGCAAACTAACTATCCAGCTCAGAGAACAAAACCACATCAAAAAAATATTCTAACTGTATCCGCCTACGCAAAATCTGCTTTGGTTGTTTGTTGAATTAGTCTTTGTTCATATTTTTCTCACGACCGTTATTGGTGCAATAAACATTGACGTAAAACACTGTCTACCACTTTTGGCTAGCAGCCACCTCTCACCACACAGTCCTACAGAAGGTCAATCACGAGCCCGAATAGCTCAGTGGTAACATCTCTGATTGCAGCCCTCACTGGATGACATGGGTTCGAATCTCAGAAATGTCATGAATTCCTAACAGGCTGCTGATACCCCTTGCTGACCGGAGAGTGCCAACTAGTATGAAACCTAGGTGGAAGGGTTCCTGTCAGTTGCCTCTAACCATCTACTGCCAACAATCATTCTAGTGCGTTTATAAAAACAAAATAAGATATCTGTATTAATATGCGTGTAAGACTTGAACACTGTGGTTATATGTAATTCCATATAAATTTATTTATTGCATATATTGCACAGTGAAACAGTATTATTTACTGGATGAAATTTCAGACACAATTTGTTATTCATAATCATATCAGTTTTAATTACAGAACTTCAAAAGTTGGTGTTTACATATGTCATTCTTTCTCATATTCGGCAATCGTAATAGAATTTTCCCGATGTGTCCAAGAAAGGTGAATTTTCAGTTGATTCGTGTAATAAGGCTTCAGTTGTCAATCACTTTCAATTTCACATTCATAATGCTTCATCCTATCGAGTAGTTATGTGTAGCTGCATGTAGCGTTTTGATTGAGCTTCTTTCTAGATTTCTTATCTTATTTGAGTCTTTTAGTCTAGATTTCGCTAAGTCCTGTGTTCAGCGAATTTACTTTACCTCAGTCTATTACCTCAGCCTATTTATTTGACCTCATAATCATTGAAAGGTATTAGGTAAGTTAAATTATTTTGTTTAATCTACTACACTCAATCCTTTAAACGCCTACAATCCTTTCTAATGGAGTTTAGGTGGCTTTGACTTCTAACTAGGTATGAAACAAACTTCTTCAGCAGGATTATTCGAGTGTTATTTTGTAGAGATTTGGTTTGTTTCAAGTCTGATTGCGGATTGTTATCAATTAGGGAACTATTAAAAACCAGGAAATTATATGATACCTGTTTTGTCCTAGTTTGGGATTTATAGACAGTACGCACCCACTGTCAGGCTTAGAACCCAAGACATACCGGTTGCAAGGTAAGTTCGTAGACGCTTCAGACTATGGGAACCGACTCAGTAGCCAGTTCATGAATTTTAACTTCTACCGATTCATGATTTTAGCAGAACCACTAGTCAGTATCATCGGTAAGTATTGGTCCTAATTATGACTTCTTACGAGAACTCCAAACTACTTCATCCTGTAGCCAGCCAGCCAGACAGCAATCCCGCAGGCGTGTACTGATGATGAATCCCAAACTAGGACGAAACAGCTGTCCAGTACTCTTTGATTTTCAATGGTCAAACTAGAACTATTCGAATTTAGTGTACTATTCGGACAAATCACAGTGTAGCATATATATGTATATATAAATGCAAAGAGATAGAGTGGAAAGCTAGGGTGGGTCTACTTGAAAACACTATTCTTCACTAGCATGTCTTGTTCTACACTGGAAGTCTTAAAACTCATTTGTCCACTGTGTAATCTCTGCAAGTACATGTTCTGTAACTCACATACCTACACACACAGACAAACTCACAAGCGTAAAGCTACTCATGTTTACGCCTTCTAGACTTACAATCACACGTGTTTACACACCCACACTTTACGAATTACTCAACACTAAAAGCATCTCAAATAGAAGAAAATTTTCGTCTTAATTAATTAGCTAACCACTTAGAGAAATTTTCTCCTTATTATTTATTTTTTACCCCTAACTTTTAAAACATTTCTAAGTGGATAGGAACTCAAACAGATATCAAAACAAATAAGGTTGATGGAAAAACAAAAAACAGTTTAGAAATTTTATTTTATTTTGCAATTTTATTATTTATTGTTATTATCATCATCATCATCAATATTTTGTTTCGAATCCCTACAATAAATATTTTTATGATATAATACTCTGCGAATTGAGTGTAGTATTTGTCTGTCTCCCAACCAGCTGTAATAACCTAGAGCAGACACGGTTTTCAATCATTGACGGAATTACGACATTTTTCAGACTTTTGTCGAACAAAGCATGCAAACAGATGCCTATGAATACTGTCTCTCAAAGGATCGTAGAATTTACACTCCAAGTTTTTCCAGAATAACCATTTTCATATAAATTCTACTGAGGTAATCGGAATAAACAGTATTTTAACTATCACCTTAGTGGCTGATTTCATCCATAACGAAATTAACCTTTGAATTGCATAACAATGTATGGCTTGCTGTTAGACGGATTACGTAATTTCATTGTAACTAAATGGTCTTCAGATATATGGGTAGAAATATGCAAACAAGGTGGATCTCCAGATTTACAATTTGAAACACGTAAAATTTATGATGATGACCTGCTGCCAAGATTATTTGAAGTGTGTGCCACCGTGCTGAATGAACCAATAGATGATGTAAAATATGGTATGGGGTTAACATTTGTTGAATATGTTGGTAATAAAGGCTATCAAGGCATATTAAGAGTACTTGGTCGTGAACTACGTGATTTTCTTAATGGTCTTGATAATTTACACGAATTTCTACGATCAACTTATCCAAGAATCAAACCCCCGTCATTTTTTTGTGTGAATGAAAGTAAAACTGGTATTACACTACAGTATCGTTCACATCGTCGTGGATTTGTACCATTTTTCTGTGGATGGATGACAGAATTAGCCAAAATTGTTTATCAAAAAGAAATGAGTATTGAAGTGAGTTCGGTTTTTTATTTTAAATTCTTGAAGTTAATGGTTTTCTCAATTAGTTTTCATCCTTCAAGTAAGTTTCCCATGGATAAAATCCTCTGTTGTCATGTTAAATAAATGAGTTCAAATTAAGGCATAATGTTTTATTTTGACTAATACTTTATGGAGCATACAGCCTGTAGAACAAGGCTGCAAAGTGCATGACAGCAGGAAATTTGTCCAGTTTCAGTTGAAGCTCTCAAATTTCAGCTTAGATTCTCAGTGGTAGCTATGATGGATGAACCATCAGTCAGCTGGCAATATAAATATGGCAGCAAACTTTAATTTTTTATTACACGTCACTACTGATTGATGTGGGTAGGGTCCACCTACTCAGATCATCCAGTTTGTAGTATAGACCATCATGTCAGGAGTTAACTAACATGGAGTTTATGACCACGTTTTCATGCTTCCAGCCGCTAATCATCAAGTTATAGATTCATTCTAGAAAAACAACATGTTTCAATGAATATTAGAACCTGTAATGCATAGTGCTGAAGTTAGAGATTTTCCGGTCATAATTGGCTGATTACGTGAATGAATTGTACCCATAAATCAGTCACTGGCGAATGTTTTTGCTGTCTCAAATATTTAAGGGAACATGAGTTTTTAAAGATCAGGGGTACATCTCACTAATTTAGTATTATTATTCCTTTGGATTCCATACGGAAGATGGGGCTTCAGCAGTACATCAGCATTTTGCCGTGTTTTCTGCATTTGTCTTTAGCTAACTCCACGATTGCTGATGAGCTCTAATCTCTTCCTTACACAATCTTATCCATATAATCCTCGGACCAAGAGCAAACTGTTAGTTTTCAGTTCAGGTTCCCTTAGAGGGCCTAGGATGCGATGCCAATCAAAATTTTTCATAAAGTGTGTCCAATTCACTAGTTATTCAAGTGTTGGTTTGTAGGGATATGATTGATTACAGGATATCATCATGATTTGACATTGGTTGGAGAACCAGTGGATGTCTGCAGGGAGTACTGGACAGCTGTTTCGTCCCAATTTGGGACCCTTCACAGTATCCACCCACCAACACGGTTCGAAACGCACGACCTTCTCGTTACAAGGCTAGCGAGCTCGTTGACCATGCAGCCAGTGGGACCCGATCCAATGGCCAGTCCGTGAATTATAACTTCTGCCGATTCAAGACATAGTGCGACTCTTAACAAATATGAATATAAAATCTGAGAACTCTCGTTGTTTTTTTTTGCAGACTCTCACGTTGATACAAGAATAGAACCTGTGCACTGTGGTAGAGTATAATTCCATTATGGCCTTTGATATGATTATAAGCAGGAATAAATTGTACTCGAAACGTGGTCATCACTGAATATTACTGTATAACACTGTGAGACTTTATCAAAATAAATTTTACGCATAATGGAATTAGACTCTCTCTTTCACCATGCATTTTCTTAACTTCCTTTTGATCATATTCTATAAATGGATGATATGGGTAATATAAAGACCATTACCATAAGACTAATGCTCATTATTAGTTGACGTCAACTGAGAACCGGTATTAGGCAGCTGGAGCTTAGGGAAAAGAAAGCTCTGAAATCAACTTTCCATCAGCCAAATAAATCGGTGAGAAATCTAGATCCAGGTCGTCGAGGCAGCTATCTTCAAATATCCAGCATCAGTTTAAAGTCCTTTGCAATTACCAGTCATCTGGTAGTACACAGGGAATTTACAAGTTTTAATGGATGTCCTGGATGTCAGTTTTGTTGTCATTATAATTATCTATCGAATAGTTTTCATTTCTTCCATTACCAATTAACTATTCATCTTAGTCGCATCCATGAGTGAATGATAAAATACCTTCCAAGCACACGGTGTATTGGGGTTCGATACCTGACCGAGGCATTCATAAGCCTTGCCTAACTTAATGGCCAACAGAAAGCCCAAGAAAGAAGGTTGAATATGGCACCAGTAACCTCTCTCCCCCATAGAAACACCAATACTGAAGTTCCACAACTTGAGGCTCTACATTCCACTGGGAATGCAGGAAATAAAGAAGGTGATGAATTCACATTAGTCAAAAATTTACGCTTGTCGAAATAAAGGTTGAGAACTTGTGGTTGGATTCAATAACATATGCAGGATCCATTTTTATTCTAATATCGTGAATAGATAGTGAAATGAACACAGTTTGACATGATGAACGTGGATTCAGTCGTATTTCAGGTTATGAATTTTCACTGTGTTATAATCTCGGAGCAGAATAAAATATCCTTCTGGTATCATCTCGTTATGAGCACTTAGTGGGCAAAAGATGAACGTGAAATGAAAATCTGGGTCTTGTAACTCAGTCAGCAGAATGCCCACCTACTTACTAGTCCAGAAGCCTCTCGTTCAAATCCTGTTCCTACCCAGATTTTCATTTTACCTTCAATTATAACTTATTTAATCAAAACAATATACCAACTCAATTCATTCAAGCTTGAGCTTTGAAGCTTCAGTAGCAATGCTTTTATTTTTACGAGGTAAAGTTTCTAGCCTCACACCCGACCCTCCTTCTTTACTGGGCTTTCTACCGGTTTAATGAGGTTTAGGAGTGCATCGGAATGGAATCTAACCCCGGACCAAGTGAGGCGTGTTTGGCAAGTATTCTACCGGTAAAACATTATTGCGAAAGTGCTTAGCTCGAAGCTTCGTCTCATATAATCTTGAAATTATTTTGAATCGACCCTTGATTGAGTTTATTAGACGGAAATACCTTTTCTCTGTTGATATGTCGAAATTCTTCTGTAATGCATTGAGCTACGCCTGCTGTTGTTTTGGTTGACATTAGTCAGCAGTGAAATCTAAGACATAAGTTGCGACCTATTTGTTACACGTCAGCTGGTTGTAACTGGATCCCAGTGGTAACGTTTCTTTATCCAAATTGGGATTCAGCATTCATCATTTTAAATGGTGAGAACACTAGCACTCATTTAGATGCACGTGCAAACAGATGGCGAGCCACAAATATGACCAAACAAGTGTATTGCATCCGACAGCTGACCAACATCAGCTAAAATACTGTTAAGTGATTTTGTACTTTAGATTACATAACACTGAAAGTAGGTTGCTTTCATTTTAGTATTAAACTTATGTGATTAACAGAAACGTCAATAATGAAAATAATCTCTGTGAATTTCTATTTAATTCAAAGTGATAAATAGGAGACCACTAGTTCAGCGAAGTCTCTTTTCGGCGAATTCATTTTCACATCTGTACAATCGCAAATATATGTTGTTATTTTGTATATGTGTACGTTAACTTTGCCAAACGAAAATACACTTAGTAAGTTTTTGGTAGAGTTACGTAATATAAAAGTATTCAGAGGAATTGGATGTTGATAAAAGAGGGTGATAATAAAAGTGATGAGTTATCACAAACGATTGTTAAAGAAGAGTTGCGTAATAACATGAGTAGTTTGATGAAAGAGCTGTGCTCAGGGTGGACATGGAAACAGAAGAAAATACGGAATTACGTATGAGTTTTAAAGGAATATCAACTTTTTAAGTAGTCGAATAAACCAACGAACAAGCAAAAGTTAAGTCAGATCAACAAAATTGTTACCATGATAGTAAAAGTGGCTGGATAATTTTTTTTTGTATTCACGTTTATGATTCTTCTAACTGAATGGCTAGGGCTTCTGCAATGCAAAGAAGACGGAAACGTATTGTCTTTGGCAGGTTGTTCTTCACTTTGTAGATCACTTTTAAAGGAGGCGTTTGTTGAGATGAAATAACCAGTGGTGACAAGAAGTTCGATTATTGCACTCCTTATACGGCCACTACTTACTTTCTGCAGCCACGATGGGTAGTGGTTTTTGACCCTTTTGGACAGGATGTGCGTCAAACGACCGACGTACCTGGTTGCACAGCAAGAGTTGAAGTGGTCAGAGGCGAGATCTTGTCCTTTAGGCTTCTGCAGATCAGTGGGTGACTGTTGAACACTACTCTCAATGTTGTTGCGAAGAAATTTCTTCTTAAAGAAGCTGAACTCTCCTCCTACGGATATCACTGAATAGGTTATCTTTGAAGCTGAGGTTCATATAAAGTATCTTTTTTAGCACGAATTGCGATAAGTCTGAGGAAAGTAACGATAAAAAGATATTTAGTTTAGCAATTTCAAAATGGTGCGTATCATTTAATTTCAGTTCATAAATTTATTTTCTAATCATTTAATGTAAATTTGATTTAGATATTTGCTTGCACAAATAAAGCTGAATTTGTCTCATTGTGACTGAGCAAATAAACGTTGAGTCACTGAACTTTCCAGGGTTGTTTGAAATTCGATACTTTTGCATGATGTCATATATTGATTGTTTAGCTAACTTTCACTGTGAATTAACGTGTTTATACCGTCTAGCTTACTGGCAAGTCATAAATTCGGAAAAAGGCGTAGCTTCAGCGTAATGTTGACAAACACACCCCAGAAAAACACTGCCATTACTATGGGACCTTCAGAGCATAAGATGAATAGACGTATTTATCTCTGGGATAGGGAAGACTTCGATACGAGGACGGATGATGTTGACTGGTGAAGGTATTTTGGAATTTAGTAGGTCAAGAAGTTTTGTTTTGATAAAGGCGAAATTCGCCATGGGGATATGGAATGTCCATGCCATGTTTGAGTTTAGCAAAATTGGTAACATAACAGGAGAAATGAAAAGATATGGTGTAAATGGGTTGTGCATCTACGGACGTTGACGGAATGAAACCGGACTATTCAAATTGTTAACTGGATAGTCAGCAATTTACTCATGTCATTCCTTAAGAACTAAAGCTTGTGGGTGTTGATGACAGTGAAATGAGTGCAGTGGAGATGTATTACCGAGGCTCTATATTTCAGTAGTAAAGTAAAGAGTGGCAATACTAACAGTGAGTGTTCATTTCCAAGAAAGGTCGCTGTTACAGGATATATCGGCTTGAAAACTTCTGGAAGTGAAGGCTTACTGAAAATCTGTT